ATCAACAACGGTACATCTTTAAACGCTCGAGCAAACTCTTTACCATGTAAGTGTAGGCTAGAGCTATTGGTTAGTGCTGACCGGCGCTCAGTTCCTGTTGCATGGAGCTCCACGGGGGGGACAGCAAGTATTGTCTACGTTAGGTAACAGTACTTGATGAGACGATCACTTTCTGGTTTTCTAAAGAAATCAAACATAATCCTTACAGTGGAAAACTCCGAAGAACAACTTGATGAGAGTAGAACTGTAGCATGTCTTACCAGGAAAGAATGTGACCGGGGTTAAAGACTGTCTGTATTTATGTTAAAGTACAAACACACTCAACCCCCCCACAAAAAAAAAAAAAAAACTCGACAAGCCTTAGGAAACTTCTGTGAATTTCAACAAAAATCTTAATCTAGAAGAAATACAAGAAAAATAAACTTCTCTTAACATTTTAGCTGGTGGCTTGTCCTTAACTCAAAAACATAAAAACATGGTCAAACATGGTAAAAACCACACTGATCTGTGCTTCCCTCATTTAAACTATGTGCTTTTGGACTCCTCCATCGCTCCTAACTCCCAGTGGGGAAGGAAAGCTGGTGTTCTGGACACCCACTGCCACCTAGACCAAGTCAGACAACCTCGTGGTCCAGCAGAACTATCCGGCAGGCCGAGCTGGTGCTTTGAATATCCACCGCCAATTGGATAAGCTAGCTGCTAGACCGAGTTGGACAACCACATCACCCAGCTGAGCTAGCAGACAGACCAAGCCAGACACCCAGCGCTGGCCAGCGGAGCTGCTGGACAAACTAAACTCAGCTAAGAGACTAAGACATGACCCTAACCCTTCAGACTGGCTTGTCTTTGTCTACAAGACAATTCAGGGCAAGACACCTCTCTATCTGTCCTCTCTTCTTCACCTCGCCCATAATGAATAGCACACTAGGTCTAGTGAATACTTTAATCTTATCGTTCCCAACACCTCTACTACCTCCTTCCTGTTTGCAGCAGCATATGGTTGGAACCCTGAAGCCTGCAAGTTTGACATCTATCGCTGCCTTTCAGTCTAAACTGTATCAGATTATAAGTGACTGCTGCTCTTGTTCATCACCAGGATCACACTTATTTATATGCATGCATTAATGCACACATTCACTCCACTTTACAGTGCAATGGCTCTTCTGCATATGTACCCACATTTCTCTGTTCCAGACTCAGCCAAGCATGCTTAATCAGAGATCACTCATTGTCTCATTTAAAGGAGACATGTCATGAAAACTCTACTTTCCATCCCTTCATACAGTGTTTCACATTTTAAGCATCTAAGTGTCCAAAAAGCCTTAGATTATTCACTAGAGGTGCCATTTAGATATTTTATTATACAGTTTTGGTCATATTTGTCCACCTGTTCATTTTTGAAATGTGTCTAATACATCTTTTGACTATGTCGTCACAATAACTGCCAAAAATGGTCCTGGACATCCGGCTAAACACGGAGCAGATCCAACATTTTTCTTCTCACTAAGATTTTTGTAGTCCACTTGTAAGAATGCAGAATGCCTGGTTATTTTAGCCACACGGCTCAAAACTGTTCCTCACTTTAAGGAAGGGTGGTGTGGGAGTGTTTAAAACCCAGAAGCTGCTGACTACTGCTAAAAAACACAGAAGAAAGCTGTGTGTGTGTGTGTGTCTCTCTCTCTCTCTCTCTCTCTCTGTCTGTCTGTCTGTCTGTCTGTCTGTCTGTCTGTCTGTCTGTCTGTCTGTCTGTCTGTCTGTCTGTCTGTCTGTCTGTCTGTCTGTCTGTCTGTCTGTCTGTCTGTCTGTCTGTCTGTCTGTCTGTCTGTCTGTCTGTCTGTCTGTCTGTCTGTCTGTCTGTCTGTCTGTCTGTCTGTCTGTCTGTCTGTCTGTCTGTCTGTCTGTCTGTCTGTCTGTCTGTCTGTGTGTGTGTGTGTGTGTGTGTGTGTGTGTGTGTGTGTGTGTGTGTGTGTGTGTGTGTGTGTGTGTGTGTGTGTGTGTGTGTGTGTGTGTGTGTGTGTGTGTGTGTGTGTGTGTGTGTGTGTGTGTGTGTGTGTGTGTGTGTGTGTGTGTGTGTGTGTGTGTGTGTGTGTGTGTGTGTGTGTGTGTGTGTGTGTGTGTGTGTGTGTGTGTATTCCAGTCTGCATTGACAAAGCTCCTCGGATGAGAAGCAAGACATCTTCAAGAAAACAAAACAGTCCAGTTGCCTTCAGTTGAACCCTTTTGGATTACCATGACCTGGATGACTGAGAACCTTCATCAGCACTTGTATTGATGGTTGTATCTGATAGTTTTTGAGTCTTGTTTGTTTTTAATGGATGTGTTTGGTCAGCTTTCATGCTGTGGTAATAAATGTGCTATAGAAATAAATATGTAATGGTATGGTCATTTGCTATGGAGCATAAAAACTAGACAATGGAAGAAGGTCATGTGGTCTGATGAGTCCAGATGGACCCTGTTCCAGAGTGATGATGCATCAGGGTAAGAAGAGAGAAAGATGAAGTGATGCACCCAATGCCTACTGTACAAGCCTGTGGGGGCAGTGCTATGATCTGGGCTTGCTGCAGGTGGTGAGCAACAGGATGTGCTCCAAGGATGAAGTCAGCTGACTACCTGGTTATTCCATCTCCCTGATGGCACGGCCATATTCCAAGATGACAACGTCAGGACTCATTGTGCTCAAATAGTGAAAGAGTGGTTCAGGGAGCATGAGACACATTTTCACACCACCTCAGAGTTCAGACCTTAAAGAGCAAATTGCAGGTTGGAGCCTCCTTTGAACCAATGTTTAGGGAAACATAACAGGAACTCATTCTAAAAAAAAAAAGTACACATGCATAAATTATTTAGGCTTTGGGAGTCGTTTTTGTGAGAAAAATGTGTTTTCTGCCGAACCAGACAGGTAGGCATAGTCCTGTTAGCTTGATGCAGATAAAACTGTGGACTCTAATGACACAGAGGAAACTTTAAATGTTTCTAATTCTACTTCTGATGGACCACCACCATACAGTTATGAGCTGCTGCAGACAACCAGAGGGAGAAACTATGGCCAAAGGAGAGATTTAGCTGTGGTGTCAGGAGGTTCTGTGGAGCAGCAGGTGTCTCTGGGAATGAACGTGCTAGCTAGCTAGCTTAAACTCGTGTGCTAACATCACAATGCTCAACAGACTACTGTCGTGTACCAGACAGTTAAAATAGTATTGGTCAGTTAACGTAATATGGATTCTTCACTATAATAAACTGTAATGAGTGTTTGTCAGTTGTTTCATACTCATTAATATCCGTTCACGTAACGTAGCCTAGCGCTTTAGAGAGAGGGAGAGACGCCTGTCATTGCCTGGGCAGGTGGCTCGGACCTGGGTCTGACCCAGACACCAGCTTCTCTGGCCTGCTAGGGCTTTTTAAAGCTCTCCATCTACTTCTGGAGCTCAGCGTAGACCTCCCTGACCTGGTTCTGATGCTGATGTGGGCTCTAGGAGCCAGCAGCTCCAACATGGGGCTCTGGAGGACAGGACAGGAGGCATGTGGAACTCCCGTCACATCACTGGGACTGTAATCCTCCGGAGAGGAGCAAAAACAACGTGTTTTCAGCTGCCCAAAACGCACCAGGAACGGAAGATGGTGCTGTCTATTCTCTTATTTGGAAACCCGTGGACTCAACGTTCGGACCCGCTGGAGTTTCTACATCCTCCACACAACAGTTTACTACTTTTTCAGAAGAATGAACACAACCCAAAACTAGTGAACACTGACTTGATAACATGACCTCTCTACCTGAAAACTACCCACTCACCACACTGAGCTTCAGGCAGGACTAGCTTACAACTCCCCCTAGTTACGTCAGAGGTTAAGACTAAAAAAAAGGATTTTGAGAAGCTTGGCTGAAAAAGGCCACTCTTTACTTGAAATCAGGGGCTGTTATGTGATCAAAACAAAATACCCACAATAAGCGTTTCAAACTGTATATTTGGGACAGCATTTCATATGAAATTTTAAAAAGCCTAACATGCATTTGGATTTTTAACCCCACTGAGAACCTTTGGGATGTGCTGGAGAAGGCTTTGTGCAGTGGTCAGACTACCATCATCAATACAAGATCTTGGTGGGACATTAATGCAACACTGGATGGAGATAAACCTGGTGACGCTGCAGAGGCTTAAGGAAACAACACCACAGCGAATGTGTGTCGTAGTCACAGCTAAAGGAGCGACGGTGGCACAGGAGTTAAGTGCTTGCCCCGTAATCAGAAGGTTGCAGGTTCGAGCCCCGCTCAGTCTGTCGCTGTCGTTGTGTCCTTGGGCAAGACACTTAACCCACGTTGCCTGCTGGTGGTGGTCGGAGGGACCGGTGACGCCAGTGCTTGGCAGCCTCGCCTCAGTCAGTGCGCCCCAGGGCAGCTGTGGCTACATTGTAGCTCATCACCACCAGTGTGTGAATGTGTGTGTGAATGGGTGAATGACTGATTGTGTTGTAAAGCGCCTTGGGAGGGTTCCAGGACTCTAGAAGGCGCTATATCAAATACAGGCCATTTACCATTTACCAAAGGAGGTCCAACCAAACATTAGTGTGGGACCGTTTTTGGGCCAGGCAGGTTGTCTTGTATCAACAGATTTGTGCCCCTGTTGTGCAAAGGTGTGACAGTACTGTTTTCTCAGGTGTGTGCTGCTTGCTAGATGTAAACTGTTTAAAAACAACTGAGTGAGAAGTGACAGAAACATGAAGGAATTGTGGATATCCAGTGCTGCTTTTGTGTGAACTAATGATGACTCCAAAAAAAGAAGCAACAATAAACAACTGATGAACACCAAACTAAACTAAAAAGTGAATTGAAACTTGTGACTCGGTAATGATATTCTTAACTTCACTTAAATCCTCTGGTAAAAGTTGGGGTTTCCCTCTGCTTCTGTGATTATTTGGATCTTGTGGCCCTTTCTATGAAACAACATATCTCTCTGATGCTGTTACCCTTCTCTCTTCACTCCTGGGTTCCAGCTTCGTCATACCTCCTTCTGAAGCCTTCGGAGCTCCTCGCTCAGGTTGTTGTTGACCTTCATCAGCTGTTGCACCTTGGCTTCAGAGGAAGCCAGGGCCTTCTTTACCTCCAGATACTCATGAAGGGTGATGGGTCCATCTGACATGTCGGATGAGTTCATGCTCTGAAGATATAACACAAAGCGGATGGAGACGGGCATTAGAGCTGAGCCCTGAGTGATATAGCATATAATCAGTATGTTTAGAGTGACCAGGTCTGGGATTGAGCACCCAAGATCAATCTGCCCATTTCAGCTGAGTGAGAGGAGGAGTGACTGGATCTCACTCACACAGCTTCCTACTCTTCTCTGGAGTCAAATCACAAAAATAAAACGCCTTTAATTTCTCGTTAACACTCGCACACCATTTTTCTTTTTGTCTATTAGCTTCAGGGACCACCTCATGATCTTACAAGACAACGGATTGAATACTTCTGTAGCCTAGACCAGTGATTCCCAACCAGGGGTACATGAACACATTGCAGGGGTTACATGGAAACATTAACCTTCAATTTCACAGATGACTGGTACCAGTCATTCCACAGCAGTTGCACCCTAGATACCAGGTCCCGTTACAAGACATCTGCACTGGAGACGAGACTTTTATCTAACTCCCTTTTAATAAAATATCTGATTCTGGCTCATAAAGTGATTGCTTTACTTCATGGGCGCCGTGAAGGGGTGGAAGGTTAGGATGACCCTAAGGGCCCAGAAGAAAAGACCCTTTTGTTCTTATTGTCTCTTTTTAAAACATACGTTAAATGTGCTAGGGCCCCTCATTCGCTCAATGTATGTATAGATTTCATATTTAACAAATAATGTATTTACTGTTTGAGTCACACCCCTCCCCTTCACAATGGTTCATTCCACCTGTCTGTCCGAGCTGCTTGCTAGCGTAACCTTGGGCGTTAGACCCATGGGGAATGAAGAGGTTAAACACCCACATTTTTTCTGCAGTTTAGCTCAAAAACGTTACTACCAGTCCGGTTTGTTCGTGTTTCTCTCGCTGTCCCCTTCCTGCTAAGTGAATCCCGCACCTTTGTGCTCCAGTGTTACATCAGTATTCCTGTCTGTTCCGTTGTCTCAGCCACTCCGCACCACCCAAGTGGCTAAAACATGCTCACTCATTACAAGCTCGCTCCCGTGGTGCGCTCTGCTCACACACAGCAGACCTGCTGTCACGATTGGGTGTTGGTAGGGCCCAAATATGCAGATACCCAGGAGGACACGAGGCAGGAGATGATGTGAAGTAAAATCCTTTTATTAGGATGATTGAAACAAAAATATATCCAAATGGGCTGGAGCCAAAAAAAAAAAACGATGTATCCAAAGAGCTGAGCAGGAGATCAAAACACTAGAGACAACACAAGAAGACTGACAGAATTACCTCAATGGACCGACACAAGACAAAGACAAGACCGGGCTTAAATAGACTGGGAGGAACAATTAGGGAAACAGGAAGCAGGTGTGTGGAGTGAGGGCTGGAGGGAAGACAGGTGACAACAATTATCTAAATGGGGAAGCAGAACCAAAGGAGGGCAGATAAACACAAAACTGAACTAAAAGACTGAAGGAAGAACTCACACACACACAATCACCCCCAAATACACTCACACACACTGAATTGGGGAATGGACACACACACACACACACACACACACACACACACACACACACACACACACACACACACACACACACACACACATGTCATACGGGCAAAGTCTGTTTTATTGTGGTTTTCCTTCTAGTGTGGTGTGTTTTTAGTGTGTATTCTTTTTTATTTAGTTTAGTGCATGGAATGCTTTTATTTTGGGGAACCCAGGAAACTGGGAGGGTGTGTGATTTTATTTTGATGAGCTTGGACAGATGACATCCGGACCGGAGCAATTATCTGCACCGGTGGCAGATTAGGAGCGTCTGTTTTTTTTGGTGGAGACGGTGGCAGCAAGCAGAGAATCGCTGGGTGAAAGGACACCGATCGTCTGTGACGAGGCTTCATGGAGATGTGGGCAGGGTATTCCTCTGCCCTGGCGTATGAGTAGCGGCCCTGTGACAAGGTGTGACCCGCGGTGTGTGATCGAGCAGTGACTGCCGTTAAATTCACTGACAGGTGGACCCGCGACAGAGGAGGACGACAGCGTGGTGCGGCGACGCGGCCGAGCCAGTGACCGATCTGCAGGAGGAAGCGGCCGATCGAGGGAAACGGCGGTGCGGCAGACACGCGTCTTGAAGGAGGAGGCGAGCTATCGAGGGAAGAGGAAACCGGCAGCGTGGCAGACAAGCGTCCCCAAGGAGGAGGAATCTGCCCCGCAGCGTCCAGATAAGGCTGCAGACTCTCCGGCCCAGTTCTGACAACCGTTTATAGTGACTGTCCTAACCTGGTTTTTTAAATGTTTTAATTAGAATTTTCAATAAACCCCGGTGCGGTGGTTAATGGCTGATTCCTTTGATCTCTGGCAGACGCTCTCAATTTACCTGGTGTAATCCTTGGGTGGGATTTTGTATCTGGTAGATATATAATATAGCCCACCCACCCGGTAGGAAGGTGCCACATTTGGCGTTGTTGGCAGGATCCAGGCTTTGGGAGCGGCTGTTGGAGCCAAATAAATTAGCCATGATGATGCCTGTTTACCCAGGGGCCCCTTGGCTTCCAAAATTTAAAGGACATGGGGAGGACTTAAAATACTGTGACTGGAAGGAACAGATAACCGGGTTGCTAGGGACACAGGAGTTGGCAGAACCCAGGAAGGTTGATATTGTATTGGGGGCGCTGGCTGGGGAAGCCAAACGTCAGGTCAGTGTTTTGGAAGAGAAGGAAAAAGATCAAGTCCGTAAAATCCTTAACTATTTAGATTCCTTGTATGGAGACCGCACTCCAACCGCAGTGTTAAGGTCTCAGTTTTTCGGTTGCACCCAGAAGCCAAGTGAGACTGTATCTTCTTTTATTTTGAGGTTGCGCGAGCTACATTGTAGGTTGCGGCGACATGACCCCGACGACTCCCCCTCAGATGTAGCCTTACGGGACCAGCTGTTGTTGGGGTTACAGGAGGGTCCCCTGGCCCAGGCCTTAAAGGTTTATGCTCGCCATAACCCTGAGGGGGATTTTGCTGCTGTCCGTCAGGAGGCACTATTACTTGATGCAGAGTACGGAAACACGCCGACTGAGGCGACATGTTCAGCTGTGAGTAACCCATGTGCTTCCCCCAAATCATCACAGGGACCTGGCTGGAAGGAGGCCCTAAAGAGGGAGATTATGGAGGACGTGAAGGCGCAGATGGGAGAGCTTACCCAGGAATTGGTGAGGGAGGTTAAATCACTTCTCCAACCCGCAGCAGTTGCTCCACAACCCTCAAGGTTTGAGAGGGAGAGGCGGCGGTCCACGTCCTATGCCAACGACCGGGATGCACAAGGTCGACCAATCTGCCACAGATGTAGATGTCCAGGCCACATAGCCAGGTTCTGTAGGGAGCCAAATGCTTCACCGCCTCCTTTAAACTAACCATCCCTGCTGCTGAGGTCCGGGGGGCAGGGGTGGCTGATTCACCACCAGAGGAAAAAGGGGCCACTGAGACGTTTGTTGGACAAAGTCCTACCATAGGGGTGACCATTGAGGGAGTCCAGCTCCAGGGGTTACTGGATACGGGTTCCCAAGTAACTTTAATGCAACAGAGTCTCCTAGAAAAATATTTTACTGGAATTAAACCTGAGAAGACCCCTGTATTCTTCCAATTGAGAGCAGCCAATGGATTAGAGATCCCCTATACTGGCTATGCAGTGTTGGACTTTGAAGTGGAGGGCATTAGCATACCTGGGCGGGGCGTTATTATTGTTAAGGATGAACATTGTACACACCCGCTCATTATAGGCATGAACATTGTGACTGCTTGCTGGAAGGCCCTGTTTAAGAGTTCTGCAGCGGCTGCCCCATGCCCATCACCGATAAAGCATCAGAAGGCCTGGAAGGATGCCTTTGCAACCTGCAGGCGTATTGAAGCTACTGTGGCCGAGGATGGGCTGCTTGGATTTGTGCGGTTGGCCCGTTGGGGCCCTATAAGGGTCCCACCGAGAAGTGAGATGCTGGTTTGGGGCCGGGCGCGGAGGGGCCCACGAGGAGCAGACTACTGTGCCCTGTTAGACCCGACATCAGAGACCAGTAAGGTGGGCGTGGCCAGGACACTGGCCATTGTAAGAAATGGCAGAATTCCGGTGCGTGTTTGCAACCCCCACCCTTACAGCCTGTCTATTGGCCGGTACGAGAAGCTGGGAAAGCTGTACCACATGGATGAGACGGATGTTCATGGACCTCGTGATCTGAGCCTGTCCCTGGAGGAGGACGGAGCGGTTGAAGTGGCGTTGGTGGATGCAGCAGTGCCTACAGAACAAAGTGAGCTTCCACAAAAGGTGAGAGATCTAACTAACCGGCCAGATTTGTCTGAAGCTCAACAGGAGGAGCTGTGTGCCTTGCTGCAGAAGTGGGAAAAAGTTTTTGCGAAGCATGATGAAGACTTTGGGCGGACAGAGGCCGTAAAACACCAAATCCACACTGGTGGGGCAGCACCTATTAGGGAGCGATATCGACCTCTCCCTCCCCTCATGTACAGAGAGGTGAAATCCCTGTTGTCAGATATGCTGGAGAGAGGAGTGATTAGAGAGAGCTGTAGCCCCTGGGCTGCACCCATAGCCCTGGTGAAGAAAAAGGACAACAGTTGGAGATTCTGTGTCGATTATAGGAAATTGAACGCAGTAACTCATAAAGATGCCTTTCCTTTGCCTAGGATAGAGGAGACTCTTACCAGTCTGAACCGAGCAGAGTGGTTTTCTACCCTTGACCTGGCCAGTGGGTACTGGCAGGTCGAAATGGATCCTCAGGACAGGGAGAAGACTGCTTTTACCACTCCACTTGGATTGTTTGAATTTGAATGCATGCCGTTCGGATTGTGTAATGCCCCTGCCACTTTCCAGCGACTTATGCAGCAGTGTTTAAGTGGTCAGATGGCAGAGTCACTGTTGGTGTACTTGGATGACATCATTATTTACTCACCCGATTTCTCCTCTCACCTACAGCATCTGGACGGGGTACTCCAAAGGCTGTGGCAGCACGGATTGAAGCTACGGCTGGACAA